GGTCAATACTTACAGTAAGTTTTATGTACATGTTGATCATCCCAGTATCGTTTTAGAATTTCGAAGTATTTAAACTTAACTCAACGTGAGGTTATTCCAATTCTTTCTTCTTCTTCTCAATCTCAAAGAAGGTGTCCCTCTGGGCCTTCTCTTCTTCAAGACATTTCATAGAGGCGTTCATTAATGCCAGTTTGGCATCTACGAGTGCAGTCTTCTTGTCCTCATTAAGACGAGGACGCCTTCTTTTCGCATTCTTCACAAATTCAGCCTCCTCAGCCAGGGTCCTCTTCGGCAGGCATGGAGAAGAGGATGAAGCTGGGGAGGCAGTAGGTGAAGAAGCTGGGGAGGACTTGCTTGAGGACGCCAAGGAAGCATTAACCCTCAAAGCTGCCGGCTTGGGGCTGTACAGCAATGAGGGCTTAAAGCCCTCGCTTCCCCAATTTGCCTCACCAACACCAACTGCACCAGGAGTACAAGTGGCTTGCTGCAGGGCAGCCCTGAGGTCCTCCCTTTGAACTGCCCTGCATGGAGGTATGTTCTCCTGCTCGATGCTAACCACATGTATTCCACTGAAGTTTGGGAGGGTCAGCTGTAAGAAGGCAATTATTAGAAATCGCACCAACACCTGGAGCAATCATGTCCCTTAATCATACAAGTTCACTTACACTGCCTGAGCTGTCCCCATCAGCAGGGTTTGAAAGGCCACTTGCGCTCGCACCAAGTACTTGGAGGACTGCTTCATCTATATGCGACGGCCCCGGCTTTGTTGAAACACCCCCTCCTGGAAAAAACAATCACAATCAAACAAGGCCTCAAAAGAAAGGACAGCAACGCTACCCTTCATCACACTATCTTTATTCTTACCTGTCGCCATCAACTCCTGCTTTTCATCAGAACGACTCTTCCGAGCTTCCCTCTTCATGTTATCCCACAATCTCATGAGGGAGTCCTTGTCCCTTTGAATGTAAGTGGTTTGAGAATTGAAAGCTAGGGTTAAAGCGTCCCAAGCCGCCGCTTTTTCGGTCCTCGCTTGCATATTAGATAACTTACACTCTATTACCGACGAGTACTCGCTGAGAAGGGAAGCGAAAAGCTCCCTCTCCGCCTGTGTGAAATTTGGGCTACGCTTTCGGTCACTCATAATTATAATAA